TGCGCCTGCACTGAAGACGGAGGAAGAGTCTGGGCTTCCACTGTAGTTGACTGCCCACCTCTCCGACTCCTCCCTCTCAGCTTGTTCCCTCTCCTTCCCCTCCTTGCCCCGCTGCCCAGCCATGTGAATATCCCCTTGTTTCTCTTCTTCACCCTGGGGCATCTCAGCTCCCTGCCCTGGCACAGCACCTGAGGTGGGGCAAGGACCCCGGATCACCCCTCCTTTGGTCTGATTCTAGGTGAGGTGAAGATGGCTTTCAGAGGATGAAGGTACCAAGACTCAGCGGGAGGGAAGGGCAGCCTCCCAGTGGTGTGCAGTTAGGTATCGGGATAAAAAGGGGTGGAACAGAATGTCCTCTTCATCCTCGTTCAGCCTTCTTCCCTCTCCCAGCCTCCCCAGCGGGAAGGGGAGGGGCCTGCAAGCCTGAGGAAGCCCAACTGGTAGGAGGAAGCTGTCAAACCACTGAGAGACACCAGAGGGCACCCTGAGGCCTCTCGGGTTCTGTGTCTGTTTCACCCCCCACTTGTCCCTTGGGTCCCCAGGAGCCACCGAGGCTTTGGGTATTTGGCTGTTGTTGGGTAAAATGCTCTTGAAACACCAATTAGGGCAAACTGGTTTGACCAATTAGATCAGATCTTCCACAGCCTTACTGATTTCCTGTCTGCTTGCTTCATCATTTATTGAGAAATCTATGCTGTGTCTGGAAACTCCTGGAAGTCAGCTGGGGCAGTTACGGGGCTCCTTCCATTCATTCATTCATGTCCGTGCCTGATTCTTCAGGAGGGTTACCCTGAGTCCTGTTACTTCATCTCAACCAAAGCCTTTGCGTTATTCTCATTTTACCTTCCTTTTTTTTTTAAGGTATATTTTATTTATTCATGCATACAAGAGCTGGGGTGTAAGCTAGAGGTGTGGGGAGTGAGAGGATTCACTAGAGAGAGTGGGGTGCAGAACAGGCAGAATGACGGAAATACACTGCTGAGGGGAGCAGCGGGCGAGATAGAGAGGTCTGCTGCCCATGTAGGGGTAGTCCCAGGCCATCCAGGGATGGAACTCTTGCTGCAGAGGCTGCACATAGCTTCACAGTGCTGCATCCTAACCTCTTGCACCACCAGGAAGGCCCTCTTTTATTTTTTAACTTGATTATTTTTTAAAAAATGTGATGCGTTCACATGACTCAATAGGAGAAAGAATATGAGGTGGCAATCTCCCCCCACCCTTTCCCACACGGCCACCAAAGCCCATGGAGATTCATGCGCGTGCAGTGTCTACACACATTCTCTTTTCAACACATACATTTTGGAAATATTCATGTGCTCTGCACCTTGTACCTTCTCACCTTCACTTGGAGATCACATCAGGCTGGTACAAAGGGCTTTCCATATGTTCACAGGAGGTACCACGATTTATTAACTAGTCTCCTCTGCTCATTTCCAGTGCTTTCTGTTAGAAACAATGCCACAGGGTTCCAACACGGAGAACTTAACCTGCAGATACACCTGTCCTCAAGGGAAGGCTCAAAAGGCATGTGTGTTTTCCATTTTGATACTGCCCTACAGCCTCTCTTACAGCAGTTTACACCCCATACTAGTGTTCTCAGGCTGCTGAACAAAGTGCTACAAACTAGGTGGCTTAAAACAATGAAAAGGCCGGGGCCTCCTTGGTGGTGCAAGGGGTTAAGCACAGTACTATGAAGCTGTCTGCAGCCACTGCAGCAAGAGCTTGATCCCCTGCCAAGGAGCTAACCCACATGGTGCAGGAGACCTCTCCTGTCTCACCCGCTGCTCCCCTCAGCAGTGTATTTCAGTCAATCTGCCTGTTCTGTTCCCCACTCTATCTCTGGTGAATCCTCTCACCCTGCCCCACCCCCACACCTCTGGCCTGTACCCCAGCTCTTATATGCATAAATAAATCTTTTAAAAAAAAAAACAGCCAAAAGGTATCACCTCATAGCACTGAGGCTAGAAGTTGGCCTTCAAGGCGTGGGCAGGATCATGCTCCCTCTGGGCTGGGGTAGAACCTCCCTTGCCTACGCTGGTAGCCGGTGTCGACAGGCTCCTGCGTGCTCCTCGGCCTGTGGACATTTCACTCCAGTCTCCACCTCCATCTTCACGTGGCTGTCTTCCCTCTGCGTGTGCCATGTCCAGATTTCTCTCTTCCAGCAGGATACTGGATTAGGGCCCATCCTAATCCTATGACCTCATCTTAGTTTTATCATATCTGTTGTGATCCTATTTGCAGACAAGGCCATATTCACAGATTCAGGTGGCTGTGAACTTATGAGAAATGCTGTTCAATCCCAGACACATCCCCCTAGCAGGTAGGAGACTGAACCTGAACTTCCTTAAACATACTTCAAAGATTCACATGACACCAGGCCTTGGGGGGGGGGGGGAATTAATTTTAGTTGTTGGATTCTGTTTCTCTGAGGGAGATACTCTGTGAGGACTGGGCTGCGTGGGGGCCTGAGCACTCTAGGTTCTAGGGTTGTAGGTTCTAGGGTTATAGGCAAGGATTGGCTTTCAGGTGGCAGCTGGGAAGGAACGCTAACGTGACATAGATATTCTGGGGTGTGGTTCTACCTCAGTTTTCCAAGCAATTTTGTCAGTGTGAAGCTCGGTCTCAGGCCCTCAGCTGTGGGCACTAACCCAGTGTCCAGGTCAGAGGTCAGCTCACAGGGTGAAGCTGTCCCAGGGAATGTTTTATCTCCCACAGTACTTCATCCATTTTTGAAATGGATACTCAGGTTTAAAAATTAATACATTTCATATAAAAATTTAGATTCCTGACTTCTCTAGGGGAAAAAAATCAGCTATGAACACTGTGCTCAAATTTCTACACAGCAACTGCCTGTGGGTATAACTGTTGGCACTTAATGCTGTGTCCCCAGGCTCCAGGCAGTCAAACCAAGGGGCGGTCTAGGGCAGTGGGCTAAGCTGTAACTTGGACCCCAGCTGCCTGCGATTGAACCCCAGCTGTGCATCCTGGGCACGTTGCTTCATGTCGCTAAGACTCACTGTCCTCACCTGTAGAATGAGGTAGATTTATGCAAGGCGCTTTTATTGCGTATCTGCTGTGTCTACTGTGTGCTGGGCATGTTGCAGGCTCTTGGGACATGCAAGTAAACAAAGCAAGATCCTGGCTCTTGCAGCGCTCATACTGTGGTGGGGTAGACAGGTAATAAACAGTGACAGAATAAATAGGTACGTCATGTGGTATATTGAAAGATGAGCAACGCTGTGGGGAAACAGAAACCCAAACCTAAAGCGCTCAGGGAATAGAGAATGGGGATATGGTCGCACTGATACTGGGCTGCTCAGGGAAAGTCTCACTGAGATGACATTTGTGCAAAAGTTTGAAGGAGGTGAGGGAACTGCCAAGGAGTCAATGGGGAGAGTCACCAGCAAAGGGAAACGGCAGGGGAAGGCCCTGAGAGGGGGCTGGGCTTGATATTGGAGGATCAAGGATGCCAGTTTGGCTGAGAGGAGACGGGGAGAGTAGTGGCAGTTGAGGTCACAGGGAAGAAAATGGGAGCGATATCCCCAAATCTTGTAGGAACTTGTATGCCACAGGGAGGACTGTGGCCTTTTACTCTGAGCAAGGAAGGAGCCAGGGAGGGTTCTGAGCAGAGGTGCTGTAACAGAGGTGCCTGGTTGCTTGGGGTAGATAGACTGGGGAGGAAGGTGGGGGAGGGCAGGGGTGGGGAGATACTGAGCCACAATCCAGATGAGAGGTAGGTGTGGCTCAGGCCGGGGAACTAGCCTTGAGGATGGCAAGAAGTGGCTGGCTACAGGATACATTTGCAAGCTGAATTGACAGGACTTGCAGATGGATTCCGAGTGTAAGGAAAAAGAGGGGTCAGGATGATCCTGTCTGGAGGTGCCCCTCTCCAGGATGTGTGAATGGTGCAGCAGGTGAGGTGAGGGGGGTGAGGGGCTATGAGGGGGGAGTTGGGAATAGCTAAGCTGAGACTCGCCATGCAGGCGACTGCAGTGGGAAACAGGCCTGGAGTCTGGGAACAAGGTTTGGGAGAATAGTCCCGCCTCGAAGTTTATTGTGAGAGTGAAATGAATTCTTGTCTGTAACACACCAGAACAGGGTATGACCTGGGTAAATGGCGGCAGGGGTAGGGGCCTCCCTGGTGGCGCAGGGGTTGAGCACAATGCTGTGAAGGTGTCCGCAGCCTCTGCAGCGCTGTTCCGATTCCCTGCAGGCCAGGGAGAGACCCACATGGCGGCAGGCCAGGGAAGGACCCACATGGTGCAGCAGACCTCTCTTGCCTCCCCATTGCTCCCCTCAGCATTGTTTTTGGTCATCTGCCTGTTATGCTCCCTGCTTTGTCTCTGGTGAATCCTCTCACTCTCCCACACCTCTGGCCTGTACCCCAGTTCTTGTATGCATAAATAAATAAATCTTTAAAAAAATATTTTTTTAAAATGCCATCAAGGGGTAGCTGTTTTCACTGCCCCAAAAGCCTGCACCTTGGACTCCAGCTCCCTGACCCAGCTCCCTGGCCTCCCTTCCCTCTGAGGACTGGAGCTGGGGGTTGAGGGCTGTCAACATGGCTGAGAAGTTTCCATCCCATCAGGCTAGCATTCACATTCACCAGGGAGAAGCCTTAGGAATGACTGCACTTCTCTGACCATTAGTTACGTCATCTGTAAAATGAAGATGATAATCCCCCTTATTGAAGGGTTTTCATGAGGAGCAAATGAGAAATAATGGATTTAATTGCCCAACACACAGTAGGTGCTTATAATTGTCCCTTTCCTTCCTCCCCATGCCTCAGTGATAGGGAGAAAAGAAGTCAAGTGTCCATCCCAGCTGTTTATTGAACAGGAGTGTGGGATGGAAAAGATGGACAGGGAAGGAGGGGAGGGGGCGCCACAGGGCCATCAGGGCCTGCCTTGTAGGGGAGGCTGAGGCCCTCCCAGGAGGCCCCTCCAGGCAGGGGGTGAGACTAAGGACAGAAGCTTGGTTGGGGGGGTGGGGGGAAAAAAAAAAAAAAAAAAAACCATCGTGCCTCTCTCCAGCTGTCCTAGAGCTCCCCCTGGCGGTAGCTAATAGAGGTGCTGCCTCTGTCTGGGGAGCCTGAAAATGGGGGGAGATTGGGCCTCCCAAAAGCCACATCTGTTACAGAGTAAGGTGAAGACCAATGGGTGATGTTTCTAGGTAGATGGATTTTGAGAGACAAAAATATGCCAGTTCTCCTGCCCAAGCTCTTAAAAACCACTTCAATGCACATCCAAGTTATCTTGCGAACCCTACTGGGATCATCAGGTCTCCAGCTGGTCTCTCTGGACTCAACCCTAGTCTCCCAACCCAGTCCCCCACCCTCGGGTCACCTGGCAACCAGGAAAGTGCAGCGCCCTGCTCCATTGTAGAAGAGGAGTTGGCCCAAGGGAGTCTAAAGTTGTGGACCCAAGTTCCTGCAGACTGCCATTCTCCCTCACACCTCAGCCTGTAAGCCGGGGCTGGTACACTGAGGACCTCTGATGCCAAAATGCATGTAGAAAACATGGTGTGTGGGCAAGTGCTTTTGTGCCATTCTGGAGGGGAAGTCCAAGTGGGCAACTTCCAAGACTTCCCGCAGAGGGCAGGGTTGGTGAATGAGAATGACCCGCTCCCCCTCCCCCCACCCTCCTTGCCTGTGGAGGACAGTGCTTACACTCTGGGGAGAGAAGGGGAGTCGTGCAACTATAGAGTTTGGCACAAACTTCTTATAGCACAGAGGCAGGAACCAGTGACCTGAAAGGGCGTGGGGCTTGCCCAAGGTCACACAGAGAAAGCAGGGTTAGGCTGAGGGAGAAGTCTTCTGCTCCTGAAGGGCCTTAGAAAGGAGGGGTGAGCAGGAAGTTTAGGAAGGACTTGAGGAAGGTCAGCCTCTTGGATGAGTTGCAGCCCTGGAGCAGAGGCCTGAGAATGTGGACTCCAGACTTACTGACCAGAAGCTGGGCCTTCTGGGGGCTTAGATGGAATGGGAGAATTTAGGGACACAGTAGGAGGGTGGGTGCATGGGGAGAAGGAAGGGCCCAGTCTGCAGGTCTGGCTCCTCCTGTGGCCATGTGGGTGGCTCAAGAGTCCCGTTTGGGCTGGATGGTCTGCACAGAGGACTGCCCAAAGGGGCTGGCGGGTGGTGAGAACCAAGACTGGCCACTGGCATTGTGGAAGATGGGGGACAGTTGCTGCTCTGGCTCATCCCCGAAGACCTCCACATGGCTGTCCATGTCCATGTCCAAGGGTTCTGCCTTGGTGCCGTGGCTCAGCCAGCCGGTCATAGCCCAGAACAGGCAGATGGCCAACAGGACCCCGGCCGCCACGCAGAGTGCTGTGCCTGCCAGACGGCAGGTGCCCAGAGCCTGGTTGTAGTCGGCTGCCCGCTGATCCAGCACCAGGAACTCACCCTCTCCGATGCCCTCCAGCTTGGGCGGCACGGCATAGCCAGTGGTCAGGGCTGCCACGCCCAGCAGCAGAAGCAGGGTCCCTGAGGACAGGCTGATCTGGAGAGAGGTAGAGATTGGGAGGCAGTCAGGGTCAGCTGAGGGCCCTGGGCCCAGGGATCACCTTGGACCCCAACTGGACTAAAGGAAACCCCTTAAGAGATAGGACTCACAGACCATACCTGCTAGGATCTAACTGACAAGGGGCACAGACTGTTGTGTTCTATTAGGGATTTTGAGGTCTCTTGATTAATTTCCCTCCCACAGAGTGGGGAGTTTCTCCTGTCAACCTTAGTTCCCTTCCACCATTATTTGTGTCCTTTCTTATCCCCTGTCCTTTCTACCCTCTATCTCTCTGTCAGATCTCATCTCAAACCTCACCTTCTAGGACACCCCCAAAGTGGGTGAAGTCCCCTTCTCTGCACTTGTACAAACACTGCACATTCCTTCTTGGGTTCCCTCACCTTGGTCAACACCTGGAGGTAGACTTTGATTACTATGTAACCAAAGGTAGGGTCTGCCAGCCCCACCCACTGAGAGCCAGAGAGCAGGGACTGTTTTGGCTCCTTAGGTGTTTTTCAGATCTAGCTTGGTACTGGTACCAAGCAATAGCAGAATGAGTATTTGCAAAATAGCTGAATGAACTACAGCTAGAGCGCCTCGAAGACAAAGACATGTTCCCAAGAGCCTGTCCCCACTGCCTGGCAATGGGATGCTCAAAATTTTAAAATACCTACTCAATTTCTCCTAGAACTTCTTCTCCCCCAATCACCCCAGCACTAAGAGGATCTCCTCTTCTGGCATCCACTGCACACCTGGCTGGTGCATTCAGTCTGCACAGGTTGCTAACTCTTCTCCCCACTAGAGGGATGCCTTTTGAAAGCAGAGGAGAGGGGCCCTCTGTCTCAATCTCCCTACAGCAAAGTGCTATCCCCATTACCGGGACTAAGTTTACTTCTACTCCTACACTCTTACCTACATGCTGCACCCTGACCGACCATTCTCCCTGGCTATTATGAATTTGTCTCTCTCATGCCTTCCATTGCCCTGACAATAGCACCCTAATATATCATGGGGAAGTCACAGTAAGATTTAAATGGGATACACCCCTCCTCCTGCCAGTCAGAGTAATATCTTCCTGGCCATAGTGATCAGTTCATGGCTGAGCAAGTGACCCAGTTAAAGCCAATTGCTTTCGGCTTCCCGGTGGCGCAGTGGTTGAGCGCGGGGTTGCGAAGCTGCCCGCAGCCTCTGCAGTGCCGGTTCGATCCCTGGCTGCTCCCCGGCCACCAGAGGAGGGTCCCACATGGGGCGCAGACCTCTCCTGCCGCCCGCTGCTCCCCTCGGCAGTGTGCTTCGGTCCGTCTGCCTGTTCTGCATCCTGCTCTGACTCTGGTGAAGTCTCTCACCCTCCCGCACTTCTGACTGTACCCAGTGCTTGTATGAATAAATAAATAAATAAATAAATCTTAAAAAAAAAAAATTAAAAAAAAAAAAATAAAGCCAATTGCTTTCCAGGACTTCTAGAAATGAAAAGCATCATTTCTTTTCTGAAGGAAATCCTAGAGAAAATTCTGATTTCCCTTGAATGGAAAGACCCAGTGATAGTGCAGAATGGAAAGACCCAGTGATAGTGGACATCTAATGAGCACGCAGGGAGAGTCTAAAGCTTACAGGACTGCAAGGATGGGGGCACATGAGGGAGTCTAAAAACCAAGAGAAATCTTGAGTCTTCAGTGTGATGGCTGAACTGCAGGATCGAACTTTGCCTGAAGGTATCCAAACTCTGGTCTTTTCTATACAATGAGTAATATTTTCCCTTTATTATTGACACACATTTAAGTTGTTTTTTTGGTTTGAGCATGCAAGAGTCCTAACCACTACATCACCCCTTTTCTTTCTAGCCACTGGTCCCAACTCTTTCCTGAAATCACAGGAAATCACTGGAGCTGCTTTTCCTCTGGCCTTACCTTCCAACACAGTGAGGGCCAGGGTCGGCGGGGACACAGCACAGGAGGCCCCTCAGGGTCATCACTGAGGGCAGTACCTGCGCAGTCCTCATAGAAGAGATGCAGATAGGAGCGGACCCCATACCACTTGCCATCTTCCACGTTAGGGCCACGGCTGCAGCCACAGGAACGGTCGAAGCTGGGCATCCTGGGATCCTGTGGGAAAGGTAAAGTGCAGCAGAGAGGGATCAGTGAGAGCTGGCCACAGTGACTCTCCCAAGCCCCCTAAATCTTTGTACCCCATCTACATCACTTTGCATTTTAGACACCCTATACTCATAACACAACCTTGATTCTGGCATCCTAGCCTGTCTTCCTCAGCACCAGGAAATGAGCCAGTGCACTGAGCTGCTTAGCCCAAAGTTTAACAATTGTCTGGAGGCCAGGCAGGGGCAGGAACTGTGGGTTCTAGAGTCTAACTGCCTGGATTGAAATCCTAGACCCAATACTTTCAGGCAGTCACTTTAAACAAGTGCTTTCACCTCCCTAAGCCTGTTTCCTCATCTGCAAAGCAGGGCTAACATTTATACCTGCTTCATACAGCTGCTGTTGGCGCCGAGAGATGGTAGATGTGATCAGTGTTACTGTAATTCCTTCCATTATTAGCTGCATACTGAAATTTTGGAGCCCCAGGTCTGGAGGGACATCCCCATTTCCTCTTGAATCATCTCCCCTTTCAGGACACTCTTGGCAATAAGTGTCATGACTGACACTTGTCCAATCAGGCAGAGCTGCCCAAACTACAAAGGCCTAAAAGCTCCCTCCCCAGAGCTGCCTCTCAGAAGACAACAACCTCCAAGTACCAAGGAATCTTGACTCTGCAGGAAATCAAAGTCAGGTGAGGCTCGTAGTAGCTCAAGGGCTCTCAGATTTCTAGAGAAACCAATCTAAGAGCTCTTCTTTTCACAAATGGAGAGAGATGCTGAGGCCTCGGGAATAGAACACTGTGTAGCCTGTGTAGCCGCACTCAGGTAGGACTAAAACCAAAGCTGGGGGCTACCGTGGGAAGAACTGACCCTCATGAGGTCCCTCTGAGCAGCTTCATACACAGCGAGGCAAGAGCCTAACCAAAGGGGGAGGCAAATTTCCACTGAATCCCCTGCACGGAGAGGCTCACCACACACGCACAGAGAAGTACACAGGCGCACGCAAAAAACAGACATCCACAGACGCCCGCAGACACACTCCACAGAAACACAGGCCAACACAGACGCAGCCAGACACACACATACACGGAGTCACACGCAGACGGACACACAGGACACACACCAGTTTGTGTTGGGGTGATTCTTGGCGTCCCCACGGATCCACACAAAAACACAAGGGCGCTGCCTTTAAATCGCGCCGTCACCCACAACTCGGGGGCGCGGGGGGGATGGAAAGACCAAAAAAAATTTCTTTTTTGACGGAATGGAAGAGACCAAGACCTAGAGGCACAAACAGGGCGAGAGGCTCTGGAGGCAGGGGTGCCCCGAGGGGCGGGGCGGGGCGCCGCGGGGGGCGGGGCCAGGGAGGACCCGAGCCCGCCTGAGGCGCTCCGCCGGCCGGGGAGAGGGCGCGGGAGTGGGGGCGCGAGAGGCGGCCGGCGTCCCCGCGCAGGGATCTTTAATAAAGAAACCCTGGGGAGGGCGGGAGTGGAGCGGAGGGGCTGCGGGGCTGGGTTAGGTCCTCGCCTGCAACCCCCAGCCCCCTTCCTCCAAAAACACGCGGGCTCTCCAGCCTGCCGGCACCAAGGAAGGTGACCTTGACGCAGCCTCCCCTCGGTCTGGCCCCTCCCCCTCCCAGGTTGGGGTACCCAGAGGGGGTGCGGCAGGCGGTGGGGGCAGGGAGGAAGGAAAGGACGCGCAGCACCCGAGCGCGGGCACCCGGGCGAGGGTTGCCATAGGAACCGCTGGGCGTGTCCCTCCGCGGGACGGGGAAGGGGGTCCCGGCGAAGAGGAGGGGGCGCGGGGCCCGAGGGGTGGGAGGCTGCGGCGGAGCAGGCGCGGTGGGGAGGCGCGGGGCAGGGACGGGCGCCGGGCCTGACGGTGGACGGACTCGCGCGCCTCGGAGCGGCCTGGCCCAGCTCTGCTCGCCGGGGCCCCGGACCCGCCCACTCCCGCGTGCGGGGCGCCCAGATGCCGAGATGGGGTGTCCTCGTGGGGGCGAGGCCAGGGAAATTAGGCCAATTCTCCCCAAGCTGGGCGCACTAGTTTCTGACCGGACCACCCTTGCTGGGTGGGGACAGGCTGCACCCCTCCTCCTAGAGGGAAACAGGCGGGTGGGGGTGGGTTTTAGTAGAGAGGTGGGGTAGGGGGTCTTGCCCTTGGAAACCGCCACCCAGGCCATCAGCTCTGAGGTGTCTCGGGGCGCTGGGGCCGGTGAGGTCTCTGCTTCCTACTACTTTCCCGGAACCCCACCTCCCCAAATCTGAGCGCACCAGGGCTTGGGCGCTGCCGTCCTGCCTGAGACGCGACACGGACCCGGCTGGGGGTGCGGGCAGGGGTGGACGGTTCTCCGGAACCGGGGGAGGGTGGAGTGGGGGGTCGAGCTGCGCGCGGAGCGGGGCTGAGCTCACCTCTGCTTGCTGTCTCCGCTGAGCAGCAGCCGCACTCGAGCCGAGCAAAAGCGGGTTCAGTCGGCGCCTGCGCCGCAGTCGGGGGTGGGGGGGTTTGGGGGGGACGTTTGATACTGGATTGGGAGGGGCCCCCGGTCCGCCTCAAAGGCTGGCTCTGCAGACTGCAGACCCCTGCAGGATTGCGAACCCAGATCTCCTTCCAGAGTTCCGTTCACTCGCTGAGAGTACAGGCCCCTCACCGAGACCCCACCACCTCCCTGCACCCACCCCTTCAAGCATCCCTCAACCTCTCATGGACCTTTCCATTTCTCGCTCCAGACCCTCCCCTCCAAGCGAAGACCCTTGCCCTTCCCGAACCTTCATTTCCTCCCGGTACCCTCAATTTTCTCTCTGGTCTCCATTCCCCTCATGGAGTCCCCACCCCTGTCTACAAACCTTCATCTCACTGACTCCCCAACCCTCTTCACAGACACCCATCCCCCTCTCTGCTCCCAGCCCATGGTTGAGTCCCAACTCTCAGTGGGTTCCTCACAGGAAATACCCTCCTGCTTGTATGGGGGGGTCCCCTCTTTTGTTACCCCTCTGATGACTCTGGGGTCATGATCTGTGGGAAGAACACGGGCTGCATGTCTGTGTGTTTGGCAGAGTCAGGACAGGTGGGTGTGAAGAAGGCCGCTGGCACCCCAGCTCGGGGTCAGGGTGCCCCTGGACAGGGGGGACAGGAGGGTGTGATGGGGGTGCAGAGATCAGGGGAGAAAGACCATCTCATAAGGAACCTGGCTCAATGGGGGAAGACAGCCCAGGAGAGAGCAGAAGGATCTAGAAGAAGACACAGGGATTCTAGACTGAGGGACAGTAGACAATGAAGTAAAAAAATAGTTGGATGGGAAAGGGAGTGGAAGTCAGAGTGTGGGCCCCTGTAGTTAAAGATTTTAGATGTGGAACCTCATAGGGAATGAGCAGTTCTGTCTCTGCTGCTCAATAGAATTTTCTGCAAATATTCTCTGTGATGCCCATGGGGGAGCCATTGGCCACATTTGGCTATTAAGCATTTGAAATGTGGCTAAAACAACTGAGCAACTGAATTCTAAATTTTATTTAATTTTCATTATGGTAAATGTAAGTTTAAAGATTTATTTATTTATGCATACAAGAGTTGGGGTATAGGCCAGAGATGCGGGGGGTGAGAGGATTCACCAGAGACATAGTGCGGAACAGAACAGGCAGATTGACTGAAATACACTGCTGAGGGGAGCAGCGGGCGAGTCAGGAGAGGTCTGCGGTGCCATGTGAGCTGCTCCCTGGCCAGGATCAAACTCATGTTACAGTGGCTGCAGATAGCTTCATAGGTTGTGTCTTAACCCCTCATGCCACCAGGAAGGCCCCAGTGAGTCAGTTTGAATGTTCCAGTCCACTCAAGCCCCCAGATAACATCAGATGAGCAGATCATCCCACTGGATCCCATAAACCCATAGAATCTTGAGAGATAAAATGGTGGTGTTTTAAGCTATTAAGTTGTGAGATGGTCAGTTAGTCAGCCGATCTCCATGCAGCTTGGCTTGGGTTACTTTAGCAAGGGGTCTGGGGACCAAAAGGGAAACTTCCACAGTTGAGTGTTCCTCAGGGACTAAGGGGAAAGAGAGAAAGTGTGATCTCTTAAAAGTTAGGTTCAGGGGCTCCCTGGTGGTGCAAGGGATTAAGATACAACCTATGAGGCTGTCAGCAGCCACTGCAGCTAGAGTTTGACCCCTGGCCAGGGAGCTACCCACATAGCGCAGCAGACCTCTCCTGGCTTGCCCGCTGCTCCCCTCAGCAGTGTGTTTCGGTTGATCTGCCTGTTCTGTTCCCCACTCAGTCTCTGGCGAATCCTCTCACCCCCCACAACTCTGGCCTGTACCCCAGCTCTTGTATGCACAAATAAATAAAACTTTAAAAAAAAGTTAGGTTCACACTGGCACAGCATTACTTTCACCTCTATTGGTTAAAGCAGCCCTTACTGTGGCCTCTAAGGCCTTAGGTGATCTGTAACCCCACCCCCTACAACCTTTCCTCCCTCCTTGATCTCATCTTCCCCACCCCCTCAGTCATGGTATCCCAGCCATGGTGAACCTCTTCAATGAACGGTGCACGGGGAAAACTCCTATCTCAAAGCTTCAAAGCCTTGGAACTTGTTCATTTCCCTGCTTTTATTGCTCTTTATCCAGATATCTGCGGATCTGTGAGCAACATGACTGCTGTTGTTTTGAATTGGTATGTTATAAAACAATAGCAACCGGAAAAATTCTTTGGCCCAGAGGTGACCCTCATAGCTCTGCTCGTAGCACATTGGCCAGATTAATCACATGGCTTTGTCTAACTTCCATGGGACTGGGAATTATATGTGAAGCACATGGAAATTTGGTGAATAGGTTATGTTTTTACCAGTATTTAAATGAAAACCTCTTTGCCAAGATGACATATAAGCAGAGACCTGAAGAAGAAACCAGCTTCCCCAGCCTATCCTGACTGATACAACCCCCTCCTCTAAAACAGTGCCCTCTCCTCACTTTATCCCATTCATCACATGACATTGTCACGTATGGATCTCTTCACTGGATGTGGATTTCCATCAACTGTTGTGTAAGCTTATGAAGGCAAGGCTTGCTTGCTCATTAATGAATTCCCAATCCTAAAACAGTGCTCAGCACACAATAGGCGCTCAGTAAAAATTTGTTGAAAGAGTGAAGAAATTTAGCAGTTGAATCTCACACACATAGGAGAGGGGAGGGCCTAAGGACACCCTGACATTATTCATAATTTGCAATAAAAGCCAGAGAGGTCAGGAATCTTCTTTCAGTCACACAGTAAATCTTCCATTGATCTCACACCCCAGGCCACTTCCCTTCTGGGTTTGTATCTAATCTCCAAAGTGATCCTCAGTCTCAGATTATTTTTGAGAAGAGAAAGCAGAACTTGACATTCATTTAGTTAACAGGAAACCCTAAAATCAACAGAGAATGAGAAATTGGGTTGCTAAGAAACATAGGATGATGGGGGAAAGTGTTGGCATACATTGCTAGGCAACCTGGAAGAAGCTAGACAGGCAGATTTGGCTAGAAGGCCCTTTCTCCCACCTTTCCATAGGCTTCTAGAATGCCAAGGTAGATATGTGTTTTAAGACTTCTAGTTCAACTACGTACCTAGACAGATGGGAAATGAGGCCTCAAAGGCTAGGTGGTTAGGCCAAGACTCCTCCAGTTTCTCAACAAGAGGAAAGGCAAATGTTGTAGGACACAGGACAGTCACCTGGTATGGCTGAGGCAGTTTCAGGATAGAGGCTATAGCTTGAAGGGCCTGTTTATAAAACAATAAAGAAGTCAATGGCAAAAGACCTTGAATGTCAGGCTAAGAATGTTATAGGGCAGCCCTGATACAAAACGGGGTGCCTGACTGTGGGTCCTCACCCGCGCGCTTAAAAGGACTTATCAATGCTCTACTGCAGGCACACGCGAAAGGTTAATAAAAGGTTTATTTACAAGGGAAGGGCAAATGAGGAAATGTACAGCTCAGGGAGAAAAATGGGAGACAAAGTTTTAAATGCGTCCTACCCAATCCGCCGATCTGGAATCCCAAATGGCACTCTGAGAGCTGGCCGCGAGCCAGGAGCCGTGAAGCCAGGAGGCGAGCGATAGCAAGCCCCCCCCAAGGCCCACGTGTTTGGTTTTTATACCCAACCTGGCTGCCCAACTCCACCCTCAGGTCCCAGCCACCTTCCCTTTGGTAGTGACGGGATTTGTCTTTCCCAATGTCCTGATGGCTTTGGTCTGGAGTGGGGGTGGAGCCCACAAAGCCTGCATGGAATTAGCTCAGGACATCCTTTCCCCCTAACAAGAACTTTATAATTTTAAAAGATTTATGTTATTGATTTATGCATACAAGTACTGGGGTGTAGGCCAGAGGTGCAGGCTTGAGTGGGGTGGGGGGGCAGCAGTGAGAGGACTCACCAGAGACAGAGTGGGAAGCAGAACAGGCAGATTGACTGAAATACACTGCTGAGGGGAGCAGCAGGAGAGGTCTGCTGCGCCTTGTGGGTCAGCCCCCTGGCCAGGATGTGCTGCGGTGGCTGCTGATAGCTTCGTAGTGCTGACTTAAGTCCTTGTGCCACAAGGGAGGCCTTCAAGCCAAGAACTTTAGACTTTATCCCAAGGGCAATGGGAAGTCCTGGAAAGGCTTTAGGTGGGGGTCAGATCTGTATTTTTTTTTTAAGATTTATTTATTTATGCATACAAGAGCTGGGGTACAGGCCAGAGACTCGGAGGGTGAGAGGACCCACCAGAGACAGAGGGGAACAGGGCAGGCAGACTGAACTACATTGCTGAGGGGAGCAGCGGGCGAGACAGGAGAGGTCTGCTGTGCCATGTGGGTTGCTCCCTGGCTGGCCGGGGATCAAACTTGTGCTTCAGAGGCTGCGGATTGCTTCATATAGTGCGGTGCTTAACCCCTTGCGCCACCAGGGAGGCCCCAGATTTGTATTTTCAAAGGCCCATTTGGACTGCAGTGTAAAGACTCAGGATAAAGTCCAAATGCCAAGGTCTTTCACGGTCTTGCTGGTTCATCTCCTCTCTCTCTTCCCATTGCCCCCTTTAGGCACAAATTTTTCCTGTGTTGGCTATTCTTGCTGAGTCTTCACACTTGCTGAGACTTACTGGCATCTGGAAAGCTTTTTACTTCATTTGAATCTACCTCATCCTAGCTTATGATGAATTATAAGAATGAACCTTCCTCACTCTAGTTATAATCGGCATTAAAAAAACTGCCATAAGACTTAGCGGGTGTGCATTTCATTATGCAAAGAGACTGCAGAGCAAGAGGTGGCTTGTCTTTGCTCCATGATGGTTGAGCGTCGACTGGGAAGACATCATGGCTTTAGTGGGGGTTGGGATCATCTGGAGGTTTCTTCACTCACATGCTTAGCGCCTGGGCAGCTGCCTGCATCCACTGGGGTACCTATCCACGATCTGTTTATCTTGGGCTTCTTCACTACAGCATGGTCTTAGGATTATTAGAGTTTTTTTTTAAGATTTATTTATTTATGCATACAAGAACTGGGGTATAGGCCAGAGGGGTGGGGGGTGGGGTGAGAGGATTTACCAGAGACAAAGTGGGGAGCTGAACAGGTAGACTGACTGAAATACACTGCTGAGGAGAGCAGCAGGGGAGACAGGAGAGGTCTGCTGCACCATGTGGGTTGCTCCCTGGCTGACCAGGGATCTACCTCATGCTGCAGAGACTGCAGATAGCTTCACAGTGCTGTGCTTAACCCCTAGCGCCACCAGGGAAGCCTTGTTAGAGTTCTTCTAAGGTAGTTCAGGTGCCTTGGAAATTCACAGCATCTGCTGCATCCTACTGTGATCTCCTGGTTACAAGGAGATAATGAAGGCCAGTCCAGGTTCAAAGGGAAGGAAATTTATAGGAGGAATGTCAAAGAACTAAGACTCTAACAACTTACAGAGATTATCGGTCACAGGCTAGACATCACCCCTCCAGGAGGTGACCTGATTATGCCCTGCTTCACATCTGAGTGTGCCTCCTGTGTCCCTGTAGGGGTAGAAATGACCACTGAGCAGGTTTTCTGGGTAAAGGAGACAGGGTAAAGGAGGACAGGGTAAAGGAGGAGTCAGAGTCCTCAGTGGCTTTTGCATGTCTTTTATTTAGATTTACCAGGCATATGGCAGGCAGGGGTGCGGGGGGTGGGGGGGGGGGAAGGGGAGGAAAGGCTGGCCGTCCTCCCAACCCCCAGCAAATCCTCACTCTATCTGGGCTCTCTGGCGTTCTCTCTGCTTCTCTTCTTCTCTCGGCTTCCGTTCGTTCTTGGCTTCTGCTGGCGTCCCCGTGATGCCGCCCTTAAAAACTCAGTCTCTCAGCCCAGGTGTACCCGCTTCAGGCGCCCGCCATCAGGCATGCGTTCAGGACCACAGGGTTCCCTCGTCTAGCCTAATGGCGGGAGGGCAGAAAAGCCTGATACTTTTACCTTACTCTACAGGCCCCTCAATCCCTGTTCCTCTCCGCCCGCCTCCTTTCCATCCTTGTTTGTTTCTTCTTCACACCTATGGGCGCAGTGAGAATGAGCCATGTCTCTCTTCCCACCTTGGTATGCCCAGCTCCTAGCTCAGAGCTGGGTAAAAGCTGACCCTTGATAAATATTAGTTGAATGAGTAATTGAGCGAGTTAAGGTGTGGAGTGCAATGCAGAGGCATTAAGTCAAGTGAGGTTGTGATGGGGCCCATCTGGACTCTCGCCCTAGGCTTCCTACTGCTTCCAGCCACTAGGTGTCCCCAGAGTCCACTTAAGGCAGTCTCTCCCACCCTCTCCCAGGTCAGAATCCATTTCCTTCCCAAATGAAAGGAATCAAGCTAACAATAAATGGTCTCGCTTCTATTCCTAGTTTCCTCCCCCACTGCAACTTTACAAATGGGGAAACCAAGGCCTATGATGGGGAGGGTCTTCTCCTGTGTCCCACAGCGCTCTGGCACTCTCTGACATTTCACCCTCACCCTGCCTGGGCAGCCATTCTGAAGGGCTCTGCCTCTCTCTCAGATCAGGGGAGGGATTTGCAAGAGAATGACTGCACCAGAGGGCCCCGGAGGGTGGGGTGAGGTGGAGTCTCTACCCAAATCCCTCCAGTAAGCGTGTGGCCAGGGATTGGGAGCTGATGTTGCTGGTGGCGAATAAACTCCCCCCAGAGGTAGGGCACTAGCTAAGCCTCGCTGGAGTTGGGACCCAATTTTCTTTGTTCAGCCCTTTGCACTCTTCCTGGCAGACTGGATCCTTCAGAAGCAGACACCAAGACTGAGTTCAGGGTGCAAGATTATTTATTGAGAATAAACACCTGTGAAAAGAAGAGGGGGAGGAAGCAGGATTGGATACAGGAAGTCAGGCTGTGCTGCGGGGCGGACAAAGCCTCACCCATCCAGGGGTGAGTAGTACCAGGAAGGGCTGCAATGCAAGTTCTGCCAGCCAGGACCTGACCCACACTGAACTAAAATGGCCAGGTGGATAGACCTGGCCCGACACAGGCACCAGATGCATGTCTCTTGGGAGAAGTAGCTCTGTGCGGCTACAGCAAACCCTAAAAAAGTCAACAGCTGCAGGCTGTGCACAGACCACACTTCCCCCGCCGGAGTTCTGGGTGGCACCTTATCTGCCTTCCACATGTTCTCAATTCTTTCTTACAGGATTTTTTTTTTTAACCATCTTGCTTCCAATCAGACCAAGAGGAAGCAGTCATTGCAATTCCTACATCCCCAGTGCCATTTTGTGGGCCCCCAGTCCTCCCAAAGCTGCTAGAGCCCTCTTGCAGGGTCTGTGGGTACCTCAGTCCCTGAACACCCTCTCTGAATGAGATCTGCATACTCAGCCGTCATTCTTACTGGGAACCCAGATTTGTCAGAGCTTAGGGATTCATTGGACCTAGTAGAGGAAGAACTAAGGAGTAGCAAGGGCTTTTCTGGAAAAGCCATGGTCACACTGCTAAGAATCTCAAAGACAAGACTCCTTGAGGCTTCCGTTGCTCCTTAGCCATACAATAAACCTACACTGTGGGCCAGTTATGTGCCAGGCACCGGGACAACCCCACCACCCCAACCTGAGCGGCCTAACCCCACCTGCAGCCGTGGACAAGAGGCAGCTCACCAAAACAAGATTTGGGGTCCTGTGTCTGCCCTTGGCTGCTAGCAGGCCCTCCTACAAGTTGTTTCACCACCCTGACCCTCAGTTGCCTCCTCTGGACAACGGCATAGTACCATTTATGGAGCACCGTTCTAAATGCTTATCACCTCAGACTACATTTCACCCTTGAAACAGGTACTATTATCCTGTGTTCCACAAATGGAAAGTTAGGGTGAAATGAACTTGCTCAAGGTCACACAGGTGTCAGTGGAGCCCAGACAGTGTGGCCCATCTGCTGCTTCCTCAAGAGCAGGGAGCAGGATCAAACTAGCCCTACACAAGGTGTGTGCTTACTTCATTTGGGCCCCAGATTTTAAAATTTCTAGCTCTTTTGAAACTGAGATGATTCATAGAAACATCTAGTTATCTGCCTTCTCATGAAAAACCTCGCCCTCTAGCCAGGCTGGGCGCATTCCCACAGGGTCACAAATGGCAGCAGGTGGTCAGTTGCACTCCTGCTGGAGGAGGTGGGTCATGAAGTCGGTGTCCACCAGACTCTCATTCACTTACGTTACCTGCCCGCCCCTGCCTGGCACCTGCAGGTGTGTGCCATCCTTGAGGGACACCAGGAGTCCTGAGATGGAGACAGAGGCCTACAAGGTCCAGGTACCTTGCCTGGGGACCCCAGGTTCTTTTTGATGGTGCTAAACCACATGGATTTTTGAATCTGGCAAACTGGGGAGGAGAGAGGAAGGCACAGACATGTAGAACCACAGGGCGAGGTCGGGGCAAATACACTTTATTCAATCCTGGCATCAAACTGGCGAAGTCCTGCTGTGGGTGCCAGTGCCCCAGACTGGAGGGACCCCTCCCCTTAGCTACGAGACTAGTTCTCCAAGACCACAGACAGTGACATCTCTTCACTCACATGACGTTTTCTGGTTTTTTTTTCATTGTCTTTTGTTGTTGTTTTTCTTTTAAAAAAAAAAAAAAGAAAAAGAAGAAAGAGAGAGAGAGAGAGAAAGAGAGAGAGAGAGAGAGCACGAGAAAGGCCCAGAGCCGGAGCACCAAGCTTAAAGGAGGCAGCTGGTGGCTTTGTCAGCGACGGGAACGCGTGGGGCAGAGACCTGCAGAGACCCTGGGCGCGGGCCCCGGAGGACTCTGGGACCGTTTGTTCCTGAGATTTGTGTGTGTGAATGAGAGTGTGTGTACACCCGGGGGCGCACACACGCCGGTGAGATCCAGGTAGTGAGGGCGGGGGGTGGGAGGCCGGAGGGGCGGGGCTCGGGCGGGGGCTGGAGAGAGAGGGGGTAACAGCTGGAGGGGCAGGGTCCCGGGGGCGCCCGAGCCGGGCAGGGTCTTCCCGCAGCAGCGCCGGCCCCGCTCTCCGCGAGCCACGGGCGCCAACGGCCCGGCCCGCCTCCGCGTCTCTGGCGCCCAGGCTCCCGGGCCGGGGCCGGCGTCTCTCGCGCCCGCCGAGCGCAGCGGCCCCTCGCGCCCCGCCCGCCCCCCGCGCTCCCGGCGCCCTCCCCGGCCCTGGGGGCGAGCGGGCCGGGCCGGGCCGGGCCGGGCGGCGGGCTCGGGAGGCGCCCGGGCGGGCAGCAAGGGCCCGTCCCCGCGCGGACTGAGGTGGCGTGGGCGCCAGGCTTTCCCGGGCAGCCCCCTCCCGCGCTGCTTTCCCGAGCAAGACCCGCCGCCCGCCCGGCCCCAGGCGGGGAGGAAGGGAAGTTTCTGGAGCGGCCGGGACCGCGGCCGGCAGCGCGCGGCGGGCGGTGCACGTGGGCCGGGCGACCCCTCCGGGGAAAAGGCCGCGCCGCGGGAGAAGCACCTTCCGAGCGCGCAGCGAGCGCCCGTCCCCACTTCCGACTGCCCCTCCCGTTAAGGCAGCGACGCCCGTCGGGATGGAAGGGAGCCGCGGTCCTCGGGGAGGCTTTCCCAGGGCGGCTCCAGACCCCCTCGCGCCCGGCGCCCGGCCGCCCCCTCCTCCGGGAGGCAGGCGTGCGCGGGAAGGGGCGGGCGCGCTCCCTCGGGAGGGGGCGCAAGGGAGGGGCGCGCGGGGCCGCCCGGCCGCAGCACCCCCGAAAGAGAAAGGAGGCGGGCGAGGCGAGAGCGGAGGGATCCTGAAGGGCAGGGGCGTGTCCTCCGGCCACGAGGAGGGGCGTGTGCGAGGGGGTGCAGGTCTGCAGGAAGGGATGGGCGGCGATCGGAGGGGGCTGGCTGCTGGTGGCTGTGCGGAAGGGGGCGAGGAGGGGCAGGGCTAGAGTGTCAGGGATGGGGTGGGGGCTGGGCTGCCTTGGGGTGTGTCTGCGGGGGAGGGGCACCTCTGGAATTGTCGGGGGGAGCGGGCACGTCTAGGAGGGGGGAGGCTGCGCGGGAGATGGGGTGCCAGCCTCGGCCTCCGAGGGGCCCCAATACCTGATTCCTGTATGTAAACAGCTGGTTTGGGGCGTGCGCGCCCCGCTGACGGTGGGCTCAGTAGGTGAAAACCAGGTCGGCGATGCTAGACGGGCGCCAGTCCCCTGCGATCATCTCGGTGACCTCGGGGGTGCAGTAGTCCGGGAACTCGAAGTGCGAGGTGCCCGCGGGGGGCGGCAGGTCCGGGTCGCGGTCCAGGGCGCTGCAGTCCAGGCCGGCGGGCCCGGGGGGCAGCCTGGACAAAAGCCCAGCGGCTCCTCCCCCGACGCCACCGTCTCCTCCTCGCCGTCCTCCGCGGCCGTCGCCTCCTCCTCGTCTTCCTCGGGCTCCTCGTCCTCGGACGGGGTCGGGGAGGCGGCGGGGACGGCCGCCCCCTCGCCCGACGGTCCCTGCGCGCGCTCCGCGGGTCCCCGGGCCGCGCGCCCCGCCGGGACCATCCGCCACAGCTCCCGCCCGGGGGTCTCGACCAGGCGCACTTCCAGCAGCTCCTCGTCGTCGTCCTCGTCGTCGTCCTCGGGCGCCGCCGCGCCGCCCCCCAACGGCCCGCCCGCCGCGCGGCGGCCCCCGCGGCCCGGCAGCTGCGGCCCGGGCTTGAGCCGGCTGCCGCCGGCGCCGGGGGGGCGGGGCCGCGCCTTAGCGGGCGCCCCCTTGCTCTTTTTGCGCGGCCGGTACTTGTAGTCCGGGTAGTCCGCCATGTGCTTGAGGCGCAGCCGCTCCGCCTCCCGCACGAACGGGATCTTCTCCGAGTCCTGCAGCAGCTGCCAGCGGCGGCCCAGGCGCTTGGAGATCTCGGCGTTGTGCATGTCGGGCCACTGGTCCATGATCTTCCGCCGCTCGTGCTGCGACCACACCATGAACGCGTTCATCGGCCTCTTGATGTGGCCGCTCGGGGTCTTGCACCAGCCGGGCTCGCGCGCCCCCTCCTCGGCCGGCCCGGGCCCCGGGGGCGGCGGCCCGCCGTCCCGCTTGGCCCGCGCGCCCCGCTGCTGCACCATCGCGCCTGGGCCCGGGGCCGCTAGACGCCGCCGGGGGCCGTCCGCATCCTCAGCGGCTGGGGTGGGGGAGGAGGCGCAGCGACGGAGGGGCGGCCCCGCCCCGCAGCTCGGCCCGGCCCCCGCGAGCCGGGAGCGAGGAGCTGGGCGCTCGGGCCCAACGGACGGCGAGGGGAGAAGGTCGGCGGCGCGGGCTCAGGCGGGCTCCGCGCGCTCCCGCCGCCTCCCGAAACTCGCGCCCCGCGGCACGCCGCACATTGTTTTGCGGGGGCGGAGGAATCGCACCCCCCGGCCCCCGCGGGCTCTCCTTGCAGCCGCCTGCTCCGCCGCGGCCCGCGCGCGCCGCTCCCCGCCCCGCCGCCTCGCGATGTCTTTCTCCCCGCGCGGCCCCGCCGGCGCGCGCCCGCCCCGCCCCCTCCCCCTCGCCGTCTGCGGGCCGCTGCGGCGCGCGCGGGGCCGCCCCGTGTAAACACCGAGGTGCCCGCTTGGGCTGCGGCCGGGCCACGCCTCGCGCGCGGGCGCCGCGTCACCCGTTGCTGGGCAGAGAACCTGGCATTTGCATCTCCCAATCGCGGGCGGCTGGGGCGGGGCGGGGCTCGGGCTGCGGGGCTGGGCGGTCTCGTGGCTGGGATTGGGGGTGTCGGATGAGGTCGGTTTCTTTTCTTAGGCTGGGGACGCGGGGTGGGGTGGGGAGGCGAGTGTGCTTCCCATCTGGCTCAGAAAGCTGGTCCCCGCCCCGCGCTGCCTTTGAAATTTTACCTTATCAGTGACACCTGCCGCCAGGTAGGACCTCCGCGCCTTACTCTTTCGAGGGCGCCTTTGAAATGAAAGTGGGGAAGGTTCAGGAACCCGGGTTCAGGAAGGCTCCTCAAGGAGACAGAGTCATCATAGCATGCATGGAGCCCCTGCCTAGTGCACATAGGATCCGGCCGTATACATACAAACATACGTGTGTGTGTGTGGAGAGAGATCTACTCAACACATTCTTTTGGATCCAGTCAACTACCCCTTTCACATCCTTTGATCTCGGTTAAGGTGCAACGTGACTCCTAAGAAGGGGCTGTGACGCCCACTTTCTAGAGTCGCAACGCCGAAGACACGCGGGCTCACGGTTGCATCCTAGGTGCGCGGTCCCAGCTCGCTCTGCGCACGAAGGTGCCCAGGCCACCAGCTGAGGGTGCTGAGCAGGGTGGGCCTCTCGCTTCCACAGTTCTCGAGCGAGGTTCGAGGACGCGCGGCGGCCCACTCCCAGAGCGCACCCCGCGACCGCCAGCTGGGACGCGACCGGGGCGCCGGCCCCTCCCGGGTGTGGGAAGCGCGCGCGGGGCGGGGGCGGAGTCGCCAAGGGGCGTGCCCGGGACGCATGCTCGGGGCGCGTGGCGGGGAGGGGCTGGCTCTGCGCGCTCACCCACGTGTGATCCCGCTCGGGCACCGCGGGGCGTGTGCTCTCCCCGGGGGAGGTCACCTTCACAGGGCCTTGGGCCCGGACAATGGGAGGGGGTGCCGAGGCCTCGCGCCTGTGACCCAGGAGCTGGGGACCGACGGGACCGGGGTCTGGACGCGGGGATTCTCCTGGGAGGGAGCGGGCGCGGGGCCCGTGTTTCTAATCGGTTGACCTAACCCACTCCGCGCCGGCGGGAGCCGAGAGCCGAGCCCGCGGGGTGCAGGCCTGCAGGGGCCGCCAGTGGCGCGGGGGGCGGGGTGATGCTTTAAGGTGTCCGGGAGGGTAACTGGAGTATGGTCGGCGGGAGGGGGCGACTCTTAAAGGCACAGGGTGCCTAGAAGAAGTCCCTGGGCCCCACGAAATGGTTCCTCCACCGACTTTATTGGACGCTGAGATCTGGAGATTCTAGAGTTTCAGCCGTCACAGCCAAAGCCTGACCGCTTCAGTATTCCATGGAATTAGAATGCCTGTATTTTCCCGGTGCCTCCCTTTGCTTTTTCCTAAAAAATGGGAGAATGCGCTTTCTTTCATGTAAGGTTGTTTCATAAATAAAATGGGATAAAGGAAATAAACATACTCCTGATTTCCTCCTAAATGCTCAATAAATACTACTTATCCGAGATTCAGGGCGTAGAGAGCTGAACAGCATAGCGATACCAACATAACAAGAGAAAGGACTCGCAGGGATAGATGGCGAAGTAGTGACCATGAAAAAAAGAAAAAATACTTTGAATTTTCTCACACTTTTACACTTTTCCCATTCCCCTCATTCGTTTATTTTAAATGACATATGATGGACACAGCCATCTTTGAAAGTCCTAACTAGCCCTGTAGCTGCTATTGTTGTTATTATTTTTCCTATTGTTACAGGGCAGGGGGGGGAGGGACCACCCTGTTACACTATTACTATTTTTTTTTCCCTATTACTATTATTATGTTACTGCCAGTTTCAACTTTCGGCCTCCTGGATAATTCTCAAACACAGGAAGAATGCTTGGGCGCTTGTACATTTTGTCTCCTCTTCACACCCCCATCCCCACCCCACCTAGCCTTAGCTTAGATAAGCTCCCGCTTGAGAGCCCTGCCTGCCCACTCTGCTGTTGCCCACCTGTCCCCCTCCATCCCACAGGTGCTCAGAATTGTTTGTCTAACACAATTCCATCACTGTCTGTGACCGATTGACTTCATGTTTGTATGTATTTATACGTCATATAAAACCCAGTGAAATCACCCCAAAACTGGATTGCTGTAGGGACTCAACTTTGATAGTAACCTTTCCCACCCCACCCCCTGCCTTTCCTCCCCTGAGGTAATATCTATCCTGAAACTTTTCCTATATGTATATATTTTAAACTTAACTGTTTTATTGACAGATAATTCACAGGGCATACAATTCATTCATTTAAAGCATTCCTTTCTGTGGTCTTTTCACGGAGTTGTGTAACTATCACTGCAATCGTTTTTTAGAATTTTTCATCATCCCCCTCCTTCCTAATCTGACCTCTTTTCCTGAGTTTTCTATCTTGAGCGAGTTTTCCAGCCAGTCTGTCTCTGAAGTTTGTAGAGGAGCCAGGCTGCCTCCCCACACATTCCAGCTCTGGGTCTCTGCCTCCCTGTGCCTCGTCTGACTTCCATGTTTCTGTTCTTCAGTGTACCAGTAGCCTTCCCAGTTCATTTGACACTCAGACAGGATCATTTTTAACTTTCACCTTGTCTGAATTATAACATTTTTAATAATAGTTATGAAATGCAGTGATTAATACTAATCACAATGACCAGAAAAATGTAGATGGTGAAAATAGTCTTTCATTGGACTTTGTTTTATTTTATTTTATTTTGTAAAAGATTTATTTATTTATTTATACAAGCACTGGGTACAGTTAGAGGCGTGGGAGGGTGAGAGAATTCACCAGAGCCAGAACGGGGAGTAGAGCAGGCAGAGTGATGAAATACACTGCTGAGGGGAGCAGCGGGCGGCAGGAGAGGTCTGCGCACCGTGTGGGACCCTCGCCTGGCGGCCCGGGAATCGAACCGGCACTGCACAGGCTGCAGGCAGCTTCGCAACCCAGTGCTCAACCGCTGCGCCAGCGGGGAGGCCCTACATTAATGCATTTCATTTTAAAAAAGAAAAAGTCTACCTACACAGTGGTCTGTTGTAATCATTATACTACATTAAAGTTTAAAAACAATATCATTTTAAAACTAAGAATCAAGAATTAATTTTAATACTAAATATATTATTCAAATTCACTAAAAAGTGATTTTAATGAATAATAATAATATAGGTTTATTAAATAATGAAACTTGCAATTACCACACTCTGCTGTTTGCTCTTTGTTTCACTTTTAAGTTTTCAATACAAAAGCTTCAAGTGGGCACATAGAATTAGCAGAATTGAAGTAACACAAGCTCTGGTTCTTCAGCTTCATGCTCCCTGTGTGATCATTGTTTACGCTGAATCTATTGTTTAAACACAGACATATGTTGTACCAAAGAAGCTGGAGACACAAGTGCTCAGGAAGCGAACAATTCCGGATTGTGATGAACCTAGTCTCAAAATGAACACACGCAGCTGCATCTGACTGGGTATGTGTTAGGGGCTGGCTATAAAACTGGGAGTGCTGTGAATTAACTTCCTTGTAGAATATAAAGTTTATTAGAGCATAAATAATTACATATACCAATTTGAAGCTTACAAATATATTATTAAGACTCAAGTTAGACCAACATCTTAATCTTCTAGGAGGAGTATTTAATCAATGACTTGGTCTAGAATTGTCACATGATGATAATAAAAAACAGAAGGGCTTTTTTTATCTTTGCCTTTAACTGCAGGCGATTGACCCTGTTGTTACCTGCATCACCCCACTCAGGACACCATGGCAGAGCAGGAGTTCCATGTGATGTGGGGACTTTTCCTGATTTCCACTCTCACCATTGTATCCCAGCACTGAACAGAGACTGACACAGAGTAGGCTCTCAGTATCTGTTCAATGAAGGAAGGAAGGAACCAATTCAGGTGTGGGCATAACTGTCAAAGACACCATCATGCAACCCCAGTCCACCTAAACGTTTCTGATTCCAAAACATCTGTCTGCAAACAGGCATAGTCCCCAAAGGCATTCATGTTGAAGAATGAGAACAATAAGAAAAGGAAATTCTATCTTTATTTAGCTAAATTTCTTCATCCTAAAAAATTAGGAGATTGTGATTGTGTTTGGAGGGTGCTACAAGGCCTTTTTTTTTTTTTTTAAGATTTATTTATGTATACAAGAACAGGGGTACAGGCCAGAGGGGTGTGTGTGTGTGTGAAAGGGTTCACCAGAGACAGAGTGGGGAACAAAACAGGCAGATTGACTGAAATACACTGCTGAGGGGAGCAGCAGAAGAGTCAGGAGAGGTCTGCTGTGTGATGCGGGTTGCTCCCTGTCTCTGGTGAATCCTCTCCCCCACCACCCTCCCCACACCCCTGGCCTATACCCCAGTTCTTGTATGCATAAGTAAAATAAATATTTTTTTTAATATCTTAGGAATTTTTTTTAAAGATTTATTTATTTAT